TCTATCAAGTAAAAAGTTATATGGATCCAAAATCAATTCATCAGATAATGGGAATCCGAATCAAACCCAAAATCAATCCAAGTCCAAATTGTTCTCATCTAGAAAATCACAAAAAATCAAAAGATCCGAAAAATCAAATCGTACCAAAGTCATCATGATCTGCAAAATCATCAAAATAAAACGTAAATCAAATAAGTCCAAGCCCAGCAAGAGTGAAAAGAGTCAATATAAAATGAAGAAGATGAAACCCTAATGGAGGCGGCCGAAAATCACAAAATCGGGGACGAACATACCAAAATGGAGGAGGCACACAACAAACGGCGGCTGCCAGGATTCGGAGGTTCAGAATCTGAGCCCATCTTCATCACCACCTCCATCGAAAAGAGAAACTGAGAAGAAAAGCAAGCTCACAGGAAAAACGGCGGTACGGCAACCATAAGAATACGAAAAGCCAAAGGGGGATTCAGAGATCGTGAAGATCCTTCATCATTATCCCGTCACCGAGAAAGAAGAAGGGGATCTACCGACCCGAGCTCACGAAGCCGTTTCCATCACCATCGCCGCCGCCACGAGGGCCACCGGCGGGCAATGAAGCCAAAGCCTCGGGCTCGGTGGGCGTCAATCGGCGAGTGAATAGCAACGAGCAGCATCAACCAAAAACGAAATGTAAGCTTTCATCATAATATTGTTTTTTCGTTGACTCTTTTACGGGTTTCAGGTGAGAAGGGATAAGAAATCGGTGACATGCAAAGGAAAGGGATGAGGAATCGAAGCTTAAAGCTCCGTTAATGGCAGTCGCGGCGGAATTTGGGAAGGAGAAGAGAAAAGATAAGGGTTGAAGAACCCTATTTGAAACAAAAGCTATACTTATCTTTGGTTTCTCAACTCCGTCTTTTCAGTTGTTATGTTTTTAAGTTTTTATTTTTTGTTTTTTATGCTTCACGGTTTTGTTTATTTGTCATAGTAGCTTAGGAGTTAATAATATTGATAAATTTTTTTTATAAATTTAGAACAAAAAGAAAACAAAAGACTATTTGTTTTTGGATATGAGAATTAAAGTTAATACATTAAAGGTAAAGGGCTTAAAATTAAGGCAGTTTTTATTAATTTAAAACGTATTTTTTTGCAAATAAAATATCAAAACAGAAACTTTTATTTTACATGAAACGTGCTTTTAATTAATTGTTCTTCATCAAAAATTTTATTTTTAACAACTTGAAACAAGTCTATTTTTGAAGACTAAAATTATTTCTCTTTTCAAGGGCAAAATATTAGTTCTTCCCTTCAAAAAAAAATGGAAAAACAAAAAAATGATTTCTCTCTGTAAATACAAGAATAAAATTTTGAATTTTTCCTCTTAGTCAAATATTGGGTTTTTTATTTAGATTAATTTTCCGTTAAATTAAATCAAAATACAAACTCTTTGATGTAGTCGTTTCAGCTTCATGTCTAACCTTACTCCTTTAGTTCATTTCGGATTACCGACCTTCCATCTGTTCATACTATTTTTTGGCATGGATGTAATTTATGTGAGGTCATGATCGCAGTTATTTTTATTTTCGCATTTGTTTTGGGACTTGTAATTTATACGAGTGATCGTCGCGATGCTTTTCTTTTGCTATTTTCACTATTTGTTTATTGTTTATGTCCTTTAATTTTGCCGTATAATAATTTGCCATATCTTACATGTTTTTACCGTTAATCACCCTTCCGAATGAATTAGGTCTAGTCGTTTGACCGCCGAGTCAATAGTCCTAACCTTTAGCCATTTCAAACCCTATTTAGCCTAGGCGTCCCGTCGTGGACGAAAATGCCCTTTACCCTAGCATTAGGTCAAAGAGTCGTTGTACTCTGTTTTAGGGTTTCCCGCCGTGGAATCCCTAATTTAACCCTAATTTCAAATCAACATTTCAACGTAGAAATAGGAGTTTCAAAACTCCACGTAAGCGCTTTCTTAAGAACGCTTATTCCCCCATGAAACCTTGACCACAGTCAAAACGTTTCTAACCTCCCTTTCAAGGGGAACTACAATTACTCTGATTCCATTCCCGTCAGGATATGTAGGCACAAGATGCGAATCTTGTCGAGTAAACTTAGGACTAACCCTTAGGCCTTTTAAGTCACTCTATCCCTTAGCTCAGTATATACTTCAAACAAATAATAAAGCAAAATAGCAAAAATAAACAAAAGGTTCCTGTAGAGTACTACAGAAGTTTATGGTGTTAGTACCTTCCCTAAGCTTAACCAACCCCTCACCTAGGTCTCTCCCCGCATTGTGTTTATGATGCAAAAATAGGTTTTCCCTCTTTTGGCATTTTCCTTCTGATAAATCAAAGAGCGGTTGTGAATCAAGACTTGTGATTCAAACTAATTAATAGTTTTATATCCTATTTCCACCGCAAAACCTAAAGATTGGAAACTTTGCCATATCACCTTCAGCATCACTACCGGGTGGAGTTTGAAGTACATCTGAATCACTACCATTATCAGAATTACTGTCCAACTTTGAAGCTTTTTCTGCTGTAGCATTAGGTAAAACGGTCTTCCAATTAATACTAACGTCAACACCAAAATTCATTACATCAATTTCATCTTCCAAATCTTCATCCTCTTCCTCGTCATCCTCATTGCCCATGCTATAATCTGGATTTGTTTCACTCTCGTCATCTACGTCATCAACATTAACTCTAACCTCTTCATCTACTTCATCGACAGTAACCTATTCATCTACTCTATCGACACTAACCTCTTCATCTACTCCATCAACACTAACCTCTTCATCGTTTGCTCCCTCGACATTAATTTCATCGTTTGCTCCCTCAACATTAACTTCATCATTTGCTCCCTAGACATTAACTTCATCATTTTCTCCCTCGACATTAACTTCACCATTTTCTCCTTCACCATTGACTTTTTCAACATTGTCCTCCTCAAAAATAACATCCTCAATACTTATTTCTTCAACTTTGTGTTCAACATAAAGATCAACTACCTTAAATCCTCTAACATCCTCCATTAACCTTAAGACATCATTATCATTGTTCAGAGGCCGAAGTCCACGAGAAAAGGAAAAATTAGGATTCCAATACAATAAACACTTTATATTACGATACCCCTCACTCTTGATCAAATCTTCAATTTGCATGTAGGACATCAAGTCCACATCCCAATCCCAATTCATTTTAGTTACAAGCCCATCAACATACAACAGAACTGGATTCTGAATTAAATGTCCCCTATGGTGTACTCTAAATCTGACAGCTTGGGTATCAGAGGGCCTACAAAACACAAACGACAATTTATGAATTAAAACATAGATAAAACCGGGAGTTGGTATAAATAAATCATATGCTATGACAGAGCACAAACACCATTTGCGTGTTTAGGGTTTTTGTATTCAGAGGTGAGTTATAAAACATATCTCGACGCGTAACTTTGGTTTGCCATTTCAGAGACGACGGGAAGCGAGTTGCGGTTTGATTTGAAGCGAGTTGCGGTTTGATATAGAATCTTTAATTACGTGTGTGAAAGAGGAAGATTCGTTCGTGAAAGAGGAAGACCAAGACTCGTTTGTTCGTGAACTAGGTTTGAAGAAATGGGTTGAAGATGAAAGAGCTGGGGTTTTACATTTAGGTTTTATTTTATTAATTTTCTAAAAATGAAATAAACAAAACCTAAATGACATGGAAATGATATTAAAATGAATAAGACTATTTTAAATGACATGGAAATGCAACATCATCATTCAACGCGCCACATCATTAAAAACATGACTTAAAATGACAAGGGGACTAATATCAATCTTGAAACCTAAAAAAGGGACCAAAATCGTGGTTTTTAAAATGGGGGGATCAAAACCCAAAAAAACACAAAATAGAGGGACCAAAGTTGCAATTAAGCCTATTTTATTTTATTTTCAATTTCTATTGGAATAATTTTTTATTTCAGAATTTTTTTTATTTAAGTTCTTTTTTTAGTTACAGAATATTGTTTTTATTTCAGAAGTTTTTTTTAATTTCAAAGAAAAAATATTTTAAAACTTTATAAAATTTGTTTAAATATTTAAATTCAAAAGTTGATATAAATTTAAAAAAATAAAATTTAAAATTAATTAGATAATTTGAATTAAAATCAAAACTCATTTAAAATTGATTTTAAACTGATTTTTATAATAAGTGATTTGGTTTATAAACCATAACTATAAACATAAATTGATTCATATTAAATATTATGGACTGGGCCGGGACCCGCCCTCCGGGCAGGTCCAATACAAGGTTATGCCAATGAGGTTCAAGAATGGTCAAGCACAAGCCCCAATAAGGCACACCCGTCAGACAGAAGACTCTCTTGGCGAGAAAGCTCACACGCTTCCCCACGTTCTCCATGTGTCCCTCACGCGGGGACACGTCATCAATCTGGCAGTTGAAAAGGGCGAAGATCACGTGCTGGTCTTCACTATGTCAGCCCTGACCGTTATTTGTGTTGGGCTTGGCAATCCGGCTCAACGCAATATAACTGTTGGTCATGCGCTGGAGACACATTATAAATACCCTATTTCACTAGAGGGTCAGATATTCTATTCATCATGCCTTGTCTCTATACTTACTTTCTTTAGTTCTGGTACTTAAGTATCCGAACATCTTGCAGGTACACCCCTCTTTCTCCTCCACAACTCTGATGAAAATAGTAACTCATGACGTGTGGAAGACTACTATTTCGTCGGTGGAAAACTCTGTTCCGCGTTCTTACCCAAAAAATATTTTACCGGATTGAATGGATTTGACAATATATTTTTTTGCATAATGCATTTATGTAAAAAAAAATACATAAGTCAACTTTGTCCAATGAAAATTGATATCTGATTATGAACAACATTAACCTAAATAAAATTCTTACCCAAAAAAATATTCCGAATGGCCTATAAATATGGTACACAATAATTGATAGAGCAAACTCATTCAACCAAAACAACCAAACACCTATCTTCAATTTTAGAAAGCATGATAAACAAGAAAATATCCATTCTTCTAGTTGTTATCTTTTTCACCATTTCGGCATTTTGTTCCGATCCAGATCCAGTTCTGGATTTCTGCATAGCCAAACCACAAGAAAATTGCAAAAACTCATCCACCGCAACCGTGGAAGACTTCACTTTCTCCGGCATAAAACTCCCCGGAAACTTCAAAGAAACCGGATTCGCTTCCACGGGAGTGAACTCAAACGTGTTTCCGGGTTTAAACACTCTGGGAGTTTCATTTGTGAGAGCTGATTTTGATGTCGGCGGTGTAAATGTTCCTCACTTTCATCCAAGAGCAACGGAGGTGGCTATTGTGTTGGAGGGGAAAATCTATTCTGGATTTGTTGATACTCAGAACAAGATTTTTGCTAGGGTTTTGGAGAAAGGTGAGGTTATGGTTTTTCCAAGAGGACTTGTGCATTTTCAGATGAATGTTGGTGATGTTCCTGCTACTATTTTTGGGAGCTTTGATAGCCAGAATCCTGGTTTGATGAAAATTCCTAATCTTCTTTTTGGATCTGGGATTCAAAATCAGCTTTTAGAAAAGGCTTTTGGCCTTAATTCTAAGGAGCTTTCTAAGTTGAACAAGAGGTTTTCTCCTCCAAATTAGCTTCACAAATTTATTTTTAAATATAAAAAAGGAAGAGATACAATATTTGTATTTAGATGATTAAATCAAATATCATTTTTATTAAGATTCAAGTTAATGAATGCATGCTACAAATTTTTATATTTCTTGTGACTAGTTGAAACAATATCCATTAGTGAAATGTTGTATTTAATTGTTTTAATGACTCATTTCTTCTTGGTTAAGGTTCCAGAGATTTTAATTTATTGAATTATTGAATTTTTAGTTATAAAATTTGAACTTTTTTTAATGAAATTGATTTTATAAAATTAATCTTAGTTAAAAGTAAGATGAATGAAAAATGGTGAATGTTTGGATAAATTTATATGAAAATGAGTTAAGAATACTTATGTGCATAAAATAATGTTTAGACTGTAAGCTTTAATTTCAAGTTAAAATCAATTTTGAAAATAAAGTTAATTAATCAAATATGTCAAAATAAGATTCTAAACATTCAAAATTTTTTTGTTATAACTTCAATTCCATTAGACCCTTGTCTATTAACTATTGTCTATTTTGGTTTTTATAGTCTTTTAACAAAATATCTTATTAAATTGAGGATTGTGAATGTTATATTAAATTATTTTTAGTCTCAATTTTTAAATAATGTAAAATTTTTATAAATATAAATGTTTGTGGATTCGGCTTTTGGACTGTGTCAATATTATGAATTTTAATCTTTATAAAAATCTTTTATAATTTTGTTCTTTAAAAAAATCTTAAATTAACAAGTGCAAATATTGTGTATAACTACCATTATTTTTAATTCTTAAATATCCTTAAACAAATTGTACTGTAAGAAAATATGCTCCAAATATAAAATAAAAAATATTGGGGAAATTTTTTAGTAAGAGAATGTTAAATATTGTGAAATTTTTTTTAAATGATATTTTTGTGAAAGACATATTATATATTTAATTAAAATTTTAAGATGATATTTAATTTTCTATGTTCATATTTTTATTCAAATATTTAATTTTTTGTGTCCATATTTTCTAGTCAACGATATTTGCTTTTTTGTGTCCATATTTTATAGTCAATAACTATACAAGTTTGGCACACAAGATTGAAAATCGAAGAAGTGGTTGGAGAGCATTATTTCACATGAGTGTCTTTATCTTTACTTTTCCATTCTGCTAAGCTTTAATTAGCTTATGCCATTAATTGCTTTTATTCTAAGATAAGAGATGTTTGGATTGATATCCTCTCCATTTTTTTTTGTCTTTCTATTTTCTTTATTATCATAGTTTTGTCGTATATAAAATTAATTAAATATTAATTATATGTTACATGTCTTATAAATATGTGTTATTTACACAGAAAACTATAATAATAGAGAAAATGGAAAGACAAATAAATGGAGAGGATATTTTTGAAATTGTTTTGAAAATTCCTTCGTTTGGTTGTTCCAACCATTTGACCAACAATTTGCTTTTTCTTTCTCGTCTAGGTGTCATGTTCTTATTGGATAACCAAACAAGTTGGGTTTTATAAGTGTCAAATAAGAAATACTATGTTATAAGTATCAAATAAGAAATAAATATATATTTTTTATATGGTAAAAAAAGCTTTTTGATAGTTCCTCATCTATCCTTTATATTGATATATAGTTTTTGCACTGTTTTATTAGTTTTTATTTGTTAAAATTTTTGTTTTTTTTTCATTTTATGTATGTTTGTGTTTTCTCTGTTTTATGAATCGAAAAAGTGTTTTGGAAAAAAAAAGTAGAAATGAGAAAAGTAAAATGTACTTAAATGCGGAAAAACATTTTTTATATAAAATTCAAATGTCGGTTATGGGTGGTTGTAACATCTCTTTTGTAAGAATCATAGACTTACTACATATGAGTGTAGCTGCTACTATGAGTCATAACACATTTAACAATTATGATTTTTTTTCTCTGGTTTAGTTTCTCTTACCTCTTAGGATTTCAGCTATTTCTTTTTCTTTTACTAAAACATTCTTAACATTAAGAGAACATAAAATTGAAAGCTTGTAATGAGAGATTAGCCTATATATTCTTAGAAATAGGGAGAACAAATCACAATCATATCCCTTAGTTTTATTTTACCAAATTTATATTTATTTTTTTAGTTTTTATCTAGTATATTGTACTCATTTTCATTTTTATTGTAGATATCTTTATTCGAGTATTATTTTAAATCTCAGTTCTTATCTTTATTATCGTTATTATTTTCTTTTCATGTGTGCGTTATTTTCTTTAGTGTTGAATATGTATGAGTAGTTTTTTAAGAACTAAGGATCACGAGAATTGTCTCATTCTTCTATCTTTTTGTTACGATAAAAAAGTTATGAGTTATTCTAGAATTTTAAGTTTTTATCTTAAATGTCATTTACGAAAGTAAAGATAAGTTAGGTACTGATCGTACGCTGAAAGAGTATATTCTGGTACCCAGAAGTAGAATGCTAGACAACTGAGTACGAGACAACGAAAATGTCTCAAACGTAGTTGAGAAAGCTCCATATTTATAACTGCGTAAAATCAATCTCAACAAATAATTTAGGCCGACGAAAGTGAAAAAGTTATTTGTCTAAGACATGACAACACGCTGACAAAAGTACGCGGTGTCCAATTTTCTCTATTTTTTATAACATTGATTCGTTTCTTAGAAAAAATTATGTGCCTTAGGTCTTGCTTTTATTATAATTTTTAATCGTTAAAATTTATTTGTTCAAACTCAATTTTGTCTGCTTTAGCTACACAACGATATAATAGAATTAAGTACTCGAATAGTTGGTCTCTGTGGTTCAACAAAAATTTTAATACTTTGATATTGTCGCATACTTGCGGCATGTCAAGTTTTTGGCGTCATTGTTGGATACTAATTTTATTTGATATTGAAATTTTGTGTTGTCACCGTATACACTAAAGCACTTTACCGTGTCTTATATTATTTACTTTTCTCGTTGCTATCTTATACGAAGATCTCGCAGTGCGGAGAATCTTGTTGAGTCTATTAAAAAAATCAAATGTTTCATATACGAGAGATGCCGATTACTAAAAAAACAACAACAAATGAGTAAAGAGGATAATGGACCCTTTAATGACTATGCGATTTCCACTGATGAGGAACCACATTTACTATTAGAAAGTTCGTTTTTAGTGACCGATTTAGTGACTGAAAAATTTCGGTCATTTTAACCACCGAATTAACCACCAAATTTTGACATTATATTAATAAAGTATTTAAAGTCTCTAAATTGATTACTAAATAAAGTTAGAAACCAAATTAGTGACATAAATTTAACCGTAATAATCTGTCACTAAATATATTTTTCACAATATTAATTTATTAAAAATTTTCAAATTTTAGTGATTTTATTTTTTAAGTTACTATTTCCATCCTATTTTTCTCTCATTTTTAAATATTTTAAATTCATTTTAATTTTTAGTTTTTAGTCAAAATTTCACATTTTTATTTTTATAACAACTAAAACATATATTTATATAAAAAAAAATAATAAATATAAATTTATTAATTTAATTAAAAAATGTAAATTAAATGACATTATAATAATTTAAATATATTTAAATAATATATATCAATTTAAATATGAAATTGACAATTGTTATGATGTGTCCTAGTTGTAACGCATGGACTCTATAACCCAAGGTCACAGGTTTGATATTCGATTGTGGCAATTATTTTAATTTTAATTTTATTTTCTTAACACACTAAAAACGGTGGCTAAATCGGTCACTAGTTCGGTCTCAATTTCGATCACTAAATAGGTTGCTAAAGGTTTGCGACTAACACTTTTTCAACCGAAAAATTATGGTCACTTTATTGGTCGTTAAACGTTATAGTGACCAATTTTTAAGCTATTTCGGTCACTAAACGTGAAGTTTTTAGTAGTGATTATAGTATAGTCCACCCACCCATAGGGCCAAACAATTTCGAAATCAAACCCTCATTTGTGGGAATGGTTCAGCAGAATTAGTTCTCAGGATTGCCAACCGAGAATCCTAACCTACACTTGTCTATCTTTGTTGAATTTTGCAGCACACTAAATTATTTACATTCTCCTTGCGGGATAGAGCCCGCATTTGGCTATAATCCATGCCTACAAACTCCATCACAATTTGGGGTGAGCTAAAAGCTATGTTTTTCGCGCGATACTTTTTACCAAGTGAAATATCAAACTTTATGCTGAAAGATGGGGATATCTATTTGACGCATGTGATCATTTTAAGGATTTACTGAGATTATGCCCATTTCACGGACTTGATAAATGACTCATTGTTCATACATTTTATAATGCCTTCCTTTATTCCACAAGGATGACCTTTGATGCAGATGTCAATGGCGCCTTAATGAATAGCTCTAAGGACATAGCTTATACTCTTATTGAGGACGCGGAGAATAATCACCACTCATGGGGAAGCGTATGTGAACTCACTACAAAGCCCCTCAAAAGATTGAACTCTACAAAGTCGGCCCCTTTGAACACATGAATGCTAATGTAGATGTTTTGTAGCAAAAGATAGAATATCTAAGCATAACCCCTGCAACTCCTACAACTCTTATAGTCTTCTCTTGTGAAATTTGCAAATAAACTGACATACCACCAATGATTTCCTCATCGGAAGAACCATCCAAGATAGCGTTAATTATCTTACTAATAACCAACGCGGTTATTCGTACTTAAACAATTACAACCCATAGTGGAAAGATCACCCTTAATTTTTTTATAAGAAAATAACCCCTAACATGCCATGGGACCACTGGGTTTCTAAAACGGAATTGTTGTTGTCTCTAAGAAATCCAATTTAGAATTGATGATTGAGAATTTATAGCGACTCAGACTCGGCAAAACGAAGAATTTAAGAAACAAAATCTTAATGAGGTTCTTAGGAAGTTAAACACTAGGGTAAAATCCATTGTCACCTATAACAAAGTGTTTGGAAACTTAAATCTCCCAGGTTGCGCAGAAACAAACTTTATCATATACCCTTTCGAATCCTTTCTGGGACACCCTAAACAAAATTTCAAGGGACATAAATGATGTAACAACTAGGAATGTTTAGCGAGTGAAATGTTATGGTGTGAAGAGTGTAGATATGAAAGAAATTGAGCCAACACCATTGGTAAAATTGGTTGTTGAAGAGGAAGAGAAAGAGTAACTATATGTTGCCCCTCCTCCTTATAAACCACCAATTTCATTCCCGTATAGGCATGTAAAGGCCAAGATAGAAGATCAATTTAAAAAATTTGTGGAGTTGCTCAAAAAGCTATACATCAATGTGTCTTGCATTGAGACTCTATCCCAAATGCCTACTTATGCAAAATTTCAGAAAGACATCCTCTCTTTAACAAGTGGAAGTTGGAGGATCATGAGACTGTAGCGCCATAATTTCGAATAACTTGCCACCCGAGCTTCAGGATTCAAGGAATTTTTCAATATCATGAGTTGTCAAAACGGTGATTCTCGAGAGGGTGTTGTATGATTTAAGGGTCAGCGTTAGCCTGATGCCCCTATCTATGTGTAAAAATCTTAACCTTGATCATGAATGAATAGTGTCACAGGTGAGTAATAATCATGGATGAACAATGATGACTGACGAACAATAACAAGAGTGAACAACGATCGTTGATGAATAATACTTTTAGGATGAATAATACCAAATTATAAACAGTGTCAACGGAATGTGCAGTTCTTTTATAATGAATATCGAGCGCATAATTTTAAATAGGATGCAATTAAGACAAAAACAAAATAAATTTTAATGACATTAGCTAGGGTTTAAGTAGAAACAAGGCCCACAAAATAACGAATTTGTGATATCGTATAAAAAAATATTAATATATTTCAAAGTTGTAATTTACAATAGAAAAATAAACAAAACTTAAATATAAATAAATTTAAATCTAATAGAATAAAATAAAATGACATGTTTTTAAAATTGTTTGATTAATAAGAAAGAGAGCTTTGGTTGCATGTGAAAATCAAAACATAAAAGTGGTTAAATGATGTAAAAGTTAACAACAAAGAAGATACTCAAAACAACCATCGTCGAACATGATTTAGATTGTTACCTAAATTATGTCGAACATAATTTAGATTGCTACCTAAATCATGTGATTTATTTATGTTTGCATTATTTATATTTGCATTATTCAAATACGATCAAATACAATTGTATTTGAATACGATCAAACAATTAATGCTTTAATTTTGATACTTTAGATTTGAAATAAATAAATCAAAACAATTAGATTGCTACCTAAATCATGTGATTTGGTCGTTTATTTAGGTTTGCATTATTCAAATACGATCAAATAATTAATATTTTAATTTTGATATTTTAGATTTAATAAATCAAAATCTAGACGGTTTAATCATGACAAAACAATTTAAAAATAAATCAAAATTTAGTTTAATCTTTACCAAACAATTTAAATATAGTTGACCGCATATAGTCACAATCCTCTCAATCTAAATTCGCTCGTGCAAGTCACAATCCGAATAATCTAAATCCGCTCTTGCAACCAATTGTTAGTTAGTTCATTGGTTATTAGATTTAATAAAGAGGATCACGGTTTGATCTCTGCAGTTGCAAATGCTAAAACTACTTGATGTCAGAACTGACTCCTGAACCAGATTAATCGGTTCAATAAAAAAAATCCGCTCTTCAAAATTAACCATAAAATAGTCTAGATAATAATTTAAAAAACAGACAAACTCAGAACTAGAGCAGAGATGTTATACACTGCTGACATTCTTTTTCCTTCATAAAATCCGTTCTATTTTAGTTATAGTTACAGCCATGCAGTCAGCATCTCATTCCAAATATCAGGCACACCAGGGAGGCACCAATGGCTGCAATCAGACCCTTGTTTCTTCCTCTCAACTTCACTTATTCCCTTACTATAAACTGAAGGATGTCCATCTCTTCTAAAAGCTGTCATTGTTGTAATGTCTTGAAGATATACAGGAAACCTCATTCTCTTCAACACTCCTTTCAGCACTACTAGTGGTTCAGGAACATGTAAGTGGCTGAAAGATTGTAGTGGCTGTCTTTGATTGTAACATTTCCAACCATTTTGCCTATAAATGTCATTGATAATTTCAATTTGTTTTAATCTATGAAACACTTACATAGACGGAAAGTATAACACTGGCGTACATACAGACACTGGTAATAATATAAAAAAAATTGATAGTACCTGTTATGCCTAGGTGACATACTTCTAAAAACGACTCGGGTTTTTCGAGGGTCTAAGTTTAGATCTACCCACTTTGCCCATGTGGTGAGTCCTTTTTCATATGCAACCATTGGATTCATGGTTGTGATGATACTATTTCCCTCCATGTAGTAATCCCACCTGACGTTCAGTTAAGATTTAAGTGATAGTGATACGAATATAACATGTCATAAGTTATTTTCATACAAACGATAAATATTCCTTACGAGGATGTTTGACCAGAGTGAGTCCACCAATGTGCCGAATCAAATACAAGAACATCAACTCCTTTCCAATATCTTGCATTCTCTTCGATCAAATCCAAATGCAAAATTCTCTTATTGTTCGAACCTTTCTTGAGTTCCACCAACAATGGTGCCCAGAAGAACTCAATCGATGTCTCGAAATCCTTTAAATAAACATGTAATGTAATGTAAGTAAGTTAATCAATTTTAGAAGGAAATTAAGGATAAGAAGATTGATTAATGTCATACCATAGCATGGAAAGACATTAGAGGACCATTATATGTCACTCTTTTTTTGTCAGTTGGAATAACTCCTTGAACTAAACATACAAGAGATTCCCATTGGTTTCTTATTATAGAATCACCCACCAACATTATTCTCTTTCCTCTCATTTTACTGAGATACCTTAGTGCATCAAACCTGAAAATGTCATCAAAAAGCCAAATTTATTAACATGGTTTGTGTCTGATTGGTTACATGTCGGCAAAAATTTAATTCTATAAAATTGATTCAGATTTAAAGTGACGACAAAAATTTAATTCTATAAAAATGATTCAGATTTAAAGTGAATTGAACGTAATCAATCTTAAAGACAGAAGTTTCAAATTCTAACTTCAAAGTAAAACAATTTTGAAGGCGAAAACATTTCTATTTCAGAACCAATGTTGTCTATGAAAATATGTAAGATTGATTATCGCATATGTCTAAAATTTGACAGATTTAAACTGTGATTAAAAAACGTATCATAAAATATTATTTGTCACACTTAAACCACCATGACAAAATAAGGCTCATAATTGTTTTGTGAAAGTTAAACATTGACATATTAACTAATACATACAAGATCTAAAATTTAACACAACTATGTTCAAAACCCCGATTGTGTCAAAATAACCTCAACACTTGTATGATATTCAATCATATAAGAAAACAAATTAAAGGGTGGCAATGTGAACAATGCTTCATCATTACCTTGGGATAGAACAACCTAATGGCTTCCACTTCCATTTCTCATAATCAGAATCTGGCCTCCCATTCTTTTGACAAGTAACTGCAGTGGTGAGATAAGGACAGTTGGAATCATAGAGAGGATAGGTTTGATCAAAAACCCATTTTCCAACCGAGAAATCACATTTCTTCCATGAATCTCTTTGGGTTTGCACCATGTTGACATCTTCAGTTTCTTCCAGCGCAAGCCAACTAGGAACATCTTCTGGATTGATCAGTGATACCGTGCAGCTGAACAAGCCTAGCAATATGGCAAAGAAGAATAAAAATGACAAATGAAGGTTTGGTTTTGCCATGGAATTAGGTCAAGATAGTTTTAGTTGTGAATGAGTTTCTGTAATATAGAAAAGACTTTTACTTTGTTGTGTTGATGAAGGCATGACTTACGGTGTTGTGGACCATGAAAATATGTTGCTTTTACTAATTGACATTCATTGATTGAATGAAATTTGTAGCAATCACACTTTTCTTCTTTTTTATAGAGAATCTTTATAAACGTGCAAGTGAAATTATTACTATTATTACTGGTATCAGTTACATAAGATAAAAGTTACTGAAAACTGGCCCTATATATGTATGTCTTGGTTGCATTGTGTTGTGGTTTCTTGAAAGTATAATGAGAATGATTATTATTTAAACAGTTTGCAGATGAATTTTCATCTCAAGTTTTTATGTGACGTGTTGCTTAATTCATCTCAAGTTTTTCAGCCAACTAAGATGCAAGTAAAGAGAGCTCTTAATCAAAATACAAACAAAAAGTAGAGAGATCGTTCACATAAAAAGCCGACAAATTGAACTTGCAAGCTCAGGTGAATTAAATTACAGGTGCTTAATTCAATACAGAAAAGGAACGAGATTTATTTTTCGCTCGGAAAATAGACTAACTAGATTTGAAATAAGAATTACAGATACATAAAAGAAAAACACAAATTGCGAACTTGGAATGAACACAAATAATCATTGCCATTGTTACCACAGACTTCCTTGAAAGGGACCTCTGAGAAAAATATCTCAGGCTGATGAAGCCTGATGAAGAATGGATCAACCATGGGAATATCTCCCATGAAACTTATTTGGGAAGTCCATTTTCACTGTTGAGAAGAGCTTGACTGTCATCAGTAAGCAAAACAGGTCCTTTTCCTGGTCTGGTGCATATAAAGTAACTAACATCCCCCTTGTACTTTTGTGATGGAATATTATCTTTGATTTCTGGAGGTGGTGGCAAAGCTTCTATGTCCTGTATTCCATTGATCCCGGCATCTTTTGCAATTGACTTGTCGCCGATAATGTAACTGGAGGGAGAAGAGTTTTACAGTTAACTAAGAAATTCGAGAGATTGACAAAAATCTGAGAATAGTAATACATGAAACTACTGAAACTTAAAAAGCACCTGTCGAGGTCATTTGAATTTGGAGGGAAGTAGTAAAGCAGCCTCTGAACCAAAAGGGTAGCAGCTTTTCTATTACGTGCGATCAGAACCGCATTCGGCCCTGCATCAAACGTATAAGCTACCTGCACGATATAACTAGCCTTAGTATGTTTTGAAGCATGACTAGAAATATTGGTTCATTGCATTTGAACTTGAAATTAGTAAGAAAGATTTTGAAAAAGCAATCAGTTATTATAAAACACCATAGGAAGTTAAATAGAAAAGTAATTCAAACCTGGGGAGCTTCTTCAGAACGGTTCCATTTTTCGACGATGCTGATTAACCTGAAGTGAAATAGAATAGTTGATGATAAATTAGAACAGAAATGTGTCACACTTGTGATCTTATAAAACAAACATAATAGTCATAAATTACTGTCAATTATCAGAACCTACCTATGGGATGTATCATTCATGTAAAATATAGGGGGAGACGTATCCAGACAGACTGCATGAAACTGGTTGCTATCGGTACAGGTGAGTTTTGAAAAAGATGCAAAATCACGGTTTTTGATGGCTTCTTCCATTTGCAATATCCTCTTTGGCACTACTTCCTATTGTGGTTAAATGAGAAAAAGATACGGACATAAATTAATCAACTTAAATTACCATGGCATAGTTATTTATTTAACAATGACAAAGAAAAGCACGAAAAACTTTCAAACATTTGTAATTAACAGCCGCGTTTAAATTCACCCAATTTTAGAGAGAAACATTGGTACTACCTTTGCTCTGTGCTGTAAAAGCAAACTTGTTTCAACAGTCTCACGCATTCCTGAGGTGCTGCTTGTTTCCTTTTGCCGAGAACTAACCTAGAAATAGACAATGAGATAGGAAGATTGAGCAAAGTATGATATGAGATATCATAATACTATAGAGTAAATCCAATAGTGCTTAAGTGAAATGGAAACATCTCATTTACAAGATAAAAAATACTAAGGAAAATAAAAAATTTGATGTGGAAAATCTAACACAGCTGTCATTTGACCTGCGCATTCTACAATTTAAAGCATAAACCTTTTATCGTCTGAGGCATAAGTAGCAAGATGGAAGTGAGAGACATGGAGAAGTGGCAATCACAATAGAGAATAGCAAGCCAAATTAAACCGACTAAAAAAGAGCTTGAGAGAAATAGATGGGAAACTAGATACGAGAAGCTATATCTTTATGTTGAAAAATGACCACGACATACTGTTTTTACTAAAATATATTAAAAGTCAAAACTGAACAAATTAATCCATTCAATTAAAAGAAGACTAAAAATAGCATACCACGGCAATAATAATAACAAGTTCATCCCAATGCTTTTCATCAGCAAGTTGAACTGCGAGACTATCGCTTCCATTCTCCTCCTATATATATACACATCAACAAAATATAAATTACAGATGGCGTTTTGGATGATATAATATCCCTATTAAATAAAATATGAAACAAAACTTACTTTCCCCATTATCCACTTGACAAATCCCCCAAATAAGCTGCGACAAGCACTGCCCGATCCTTGCCTGTATATAGTGACAATATCCGGAATTGATAAATGTTTAGTCAAAATACAAGTGTCCAAACTAAACCATAACACCTTGCAAATTTAAAGCCATAAAGAAAAGAAAGACCTTGCAATAGCAGATAGCTGACTTTCATCTTCTTTGACATTCATTAGCTTCCCAAGGGCATAAACTGTAAAACAGAAGAGAGAACCCATTAAGAAATATGATGACTAATATAAAGCCTTGTATAAAACTAATAAGAACCAAGAAATATGCTATTGTTACTAATAAAGCATGGAACTTATGTTGAATTGCATTAGACAGAATAAAAAATAAAATTGAACGTCTGTGTATAACACTTTAAAGGATATAAAGTTTGAAGCAAGATTATTGATTAAAGAATAAGATATTATTAATCAATGTAAAAGGGCATACCAAGACAAGCAAAACCCGCAGCTGATGAAGCCAGTCCGGCTGCAGTAGGGAAGTTGTTGTAGGAAGCAATATGTACGTGCAATTTGCTCCAATCCTCCTTACTGATCTTAACACCCTTTTTATCATCCTCAACATCACAAGCTCGAGCACGAATCTCCCTTAAACAACTCTGGAACCTTCCCCCAGAAAGAGAAATCTCCTACACTAACCAGCAAAACCAAATTCCACCAATGAAAAACAGAAAGTAAAAGAACAAAACCTCTCTACAAACACCCAAACAACATCTCTATCCATTATTATATCTTAGGCTATGTTTGGATATCGTAAAATAAACGGAGCAGAATGAAGATTCCATTCCATCGTTCGGAAATTTTAGGACAGAACAATGCAAATTCTTCATTCCGGCCAAACGGAAAGAAATACGGTGGTAACTGAAGAAACGGAATGCAATCCATTCCACTTTGCTCCATCCGATTTTAAATAATCCAAACAATGGAAATGGAATACAACTCCATTTCATTCCATCCCATTTCGCTCCACTCCATCCGATTCCATCAATCCAAACAAAATCTTACTTAAATATCTTTATTCTTTTTTTTTTTTCAACTTTAGTATCCGGCTCACTCGATTGACTAATCCAGTTCGGGGTCAATTCTGGCATCAAGTGGTCCAGCCCCCTCCCGATTGCAGTTGCGGGGAATCAAATCATGTTACTCCTATCAAATCCAGCGTCAATCGCCACTGGACCAACTAATATCTTTATTCTTAGCTAGAAAATATCAAGACATATAGAATAAGTAAAAAACTAAGAAATGCGCCTAAAAATGCAAATTAATAACAGAAAATTGAAAATAAAAGTGTGAAATGAGAAGAAAATGAACCTTTCCATTGAGCCACATACGATCTTGCTGAAAGGATGGACTGACAGAGACGGTGGTGGTTGTGCAAAGGTGATTGGGATCAAGAGTAACACTGATACTATCATTGACAGGTAAGATTAGGGTTTCGTCTCTCTTACCCCAATACTTGATGACAGCAATGTTGGTGGGAGTCTGAGCCGTAACCATCAGTATCCAATTCTGCTGAGAATCACCCGCCATTTTCAATCAATCGATGTAGTTTTCTTTTTTCAAATTCAACGAGAAGATGAAATGAGAGTGAAGAAATGAGTGTAAAAAAGATAATAGATCTACGATATGATCTAATTGAATGTTAATTAGTTTTTTATTAAATTTTGTTATAATAATGAAGTGAAAGAAGAAGAATGAACAAGGGTGTATATATATTGGTCACAGCTACCAGCACCCTTTTATTTTTCAGGTTATTATTTTATGATTTTCTCTTGTTTCGTTTTCTTTAGCTACTTAATACTAATACCCATTGCCTACCTCTTTCCTTTCTTGTATCCTTTCACGGACCTCCTAATAGATTAAAATTTATTATCTTATACCTCATAAATATTTTAAAATGAATAATTATTAAAAATTACTCAAGATGTTTCGATATCACTATGAAAAGTCACAAATGTCTTTAATATTTGAAAATTTTTTACGCATTCTTCATTGTAAATTGATGAGACGTTCTTGTTTTGCTAAAACTTAATTCGTAGATGGATATTTATATGTGTATGAGGTTATTCTGAAGATGCATCTTTGTAAACACTATTAATTTAAAATTTATTGGATGGTACAAATATACATCTCCAGACGGGAAGAATATATTACCTAGCGTCAGAACCATCTCTCTTCCTCCTTCATTTGTTTCAAAAATCACTAAACCTAAAAAAAAAAAACTCGAGCTCTTCCTCAACCATTTAAGCTTCTTAACCAATCAAACTTCCCATTGCATTCTACTTCAGAAAAGCTTTATAAAGACCACTTGCAGTGGGCTGGAGAAGTCGAAGGTGATGATATGCAGGTTAACTACCATCGGACTTGTGCATTGAGGTGTTACCTCTTGTTTTTGGTTGTCACATCCATTTTTATGGACAAGAGTACAACTTATGTCGGTGTGGTCTGCCTTAAGTACTTCATCAACTTGACATCGATAACCGGGGGCGTCTGTTTGGTTTACCTGTACTCGAAACTAAACGAGGGTTGTCTTTGAAAGACAAAGCAGATGACAGAGAGTCGCACACTACTTACGATAATTTACTACTAGAAATATTTTCATAATTCATTTGTTACACTTGTTATTAATATTGTATCGGAACTATTTTTAGAGATGGAACATCTTCTATTTTCCTCGCATCACTGGATGGAAAGTCGTGCTTGTGTACGCTGAGGATTGGCCACGTGCTGCCACATTTACCACATACAAGTTTTATAAGGTGTTACACCTTATCATGACACCAAATGCTCCTGAAAAACCACTTATATATTAGGAGGTATTTAAGGCTAAGGATGACCACACCGAGGATGTGTTGATGATCTGCAACGTATTGTAGAGATGGAGAGATCAGGTATAAAGGCATGACTTTTTAAGGAAGGAAATCCCCATTTGGCCCTCGTTGAAGACATGATTGTCAAGGCACATAATGTCTTGCAGCACAGGTGGATGAGAAGGCGAGAGGTTAGACATGCCCAGTAGGACATTTGCTTGGTTGTATTATTTTGTATTTTTTAAACAACTTATGTATTGTTCACACATTTTGATAATTGTATGACTTTTTCATAATTGAGTATTATGTTTGAATCAATTAATGTATGTGTTTTCCTTCTAATTTATGGCATAAAATAACTTAAAATATGTTGGGCTAAAATAATCTAAAATATGTTAGCCTACAAACATACCAAATTTAGTGAATAAAAATATCATAAACGACGATGTTTAGCAAATACAATTATCACTTTAAGTCAGTTAGTTTTAGGAGATCTGAGGTGGACAATTTTCACTTCAAGACTATTAGAAGCAGTGAGTTGTCTCAACTTGTGAGTATGTTCTTAGAGGAGGGTGAAGAAGGCTATGTGGAATTGTGATATTTGTAAAAGTCTGGGTGGAGATGGAGTTAGTTTTGGTTTCGTTAAAGAATTTTGGTCAAATCTTAAAATGGATTTCTTAATATTTTTGTCAGATTACTTTTCAAATGGAAATCTGGTGAAAGGATGTAATTGCACTTTTACATCCCTAATTTCTAAAACCTCTAACCCTTAAAGGTTTCTGACTTTCAAGATATTTCTTTGGTCTGGTGCATGTATAAAATTTTATCCAATGTTTTAGCAAATCGTTTGAGGCTAGTTATAGGAAATGTAACCTCTAAGAAAGTGGTGAATGTTACAAAGAAGTGGCGAAAAGAGTTGATATTATTTAAAATGGATTTTGAGAAAGCTTGTGATTCAGTTTAATGAAGGTATCTTGATGCGGAAATGGGAAAGATGAGAATCTCGAGTATATGGATGAAATAAATCATGGAGTGTGTTCAGTCAGCTATAACATTTATTTGTGTTAATGGTAGTCAAACCGAAAAATTTATGAAGATGATAGGTTTGGGACAGGGTGACTCATTATCATCTTTCTTGTTCCTTATAGTGGGGGAAGGTTTGAATGTTATGTTGAATGATTTTATAAAAGTTGGTCTTTTTACAATTTATAATGTTGGAACGAACTTTGAGTACATTAATTCACATCTGTAATTTGTTGATGGCGCCTTGATTTTGTGTGACAAGAGTTTAGAGAATAATAGATCTTTAAAGGCGGACATGTTTTGCTTTGAAATATTTTCGGGATTGAAGAATAATTATCACAAGAGCATGTTCGTCAGTGTTAATGTAATAGATTTGTGGTTGGTAAAGGCTTTAGTGGTATTAAATTGACCAGACATTGCTTCTTTACCTAGGTATTTCCATTAAGGGTAACCCTCGATGTCATTCGGTCTGGAATCGTATAGAGAATCGAAAAAATTATCAAATTGGAAGAGTGGAAATATGTCCATGGATGGTCAATTTGTTTTCATCAAATGTGTTTTGACGCCTCTACTGATTTATTTTCGTTCCTTCTTCTTGCCTATTGCATGTATTATTTCTTCTACTAGATCCTTAATTAAGTATTCCCTTTTAGTTGTGGGGTGTTTGTAAGCTCCCTTTGGTTAAATGGAATAAAGTGTGTTCAAATATAAAAGTATGTGGGTCGGAAGTTCAAAGGATAAAGGAGTTTAACTTTGCCTTGTTAGAAAAGTGGAGGCGGAGGCATCGTGTTGGTCATGACATATTGATGTATATGGTGTTACTTGTTAAATATGAGATAGAAGATGGTCCTGTTAAGGGTGGTGGTAGTAAGACATTTGTGAGGTAGAGAGATTTGTCAAGAGTTATGGATGTGAGTTGTTGGCTAAATGACATATTATCTTGATTAGTGGGTAATGGTGAATATAATTCATATTCAAATGATCCTTGATTGGAGGAAGGTACTCTTATGTCGCCTATATAAGTTGTTGTATGGCTACAAAATTCTTGTAGAGAATATGAGAAGATTATAGTGGATAGTCGAAGGTTTACGGTGGAGATTGGGGGGGATTTTTTTCGTGGGAGGATGAACATGTGGCTGTGTGGTGCTCTTTCTAGATAACGTTATTTTGCATGTTAATATAGTCGATTGTTGGGCGTGGACCCCTGATCGTGACGTTGGCTATTCAATGAAAGGAGAAATTCATATTTTGACTCGTGAAGATCATATTGATCCAATGCAAGTCATGAGCTCATATGAAATAAAATTATGTTGCTTAAAGTCTCTCTATTTCGTAAAGCGGAGAATAATTTCTCTAAGCTTATTGCATTGTACAAGTGGTAGTGAAAAAAATGAGAACATTCAAAATTTATTCTTGGAGTGTGAGTTCTACGATAAGATTTATACTTGTGTCCATTAGTGGTTGGGGATTCTTTAAGTCCTTCTGAATGATATCGGCACTCATAAATTCCAATAATGTGTCCTAAATTATTTTTGTATGAAAACTCATTAGTGTTTTCAAGGCATCAAGGCATCTAGTTGGCGAACATTAAAATTATCTATAAAATCACAAAAATCATCTGACAGTCAACAATAAAAAATCTAAACTTATAGAATTGATTGATATGGTCATATTTTTAAGGGATAGTTGACTAGACTAACATTAAAAGTGTGTAAGGCAGATTACTACACAAAATCTCAAATTTATTACAGTTAATTTATAATTAAATAAATCTTAATAAAATATTTATAATAGTTAAACAATAATTAAATATGACTTATATTTATTTTTTTATAATTAAACTACGACTAAATTATTTTTGTAATCAAACCTTTACAATTTTCTTCTTTGAAATCGATGTTAGGTATTAGTTGTCCATGAAGTGAGTTTTCATTTTTATTAATAATCTATTTAGCTTTTTTCTTTAAGAAAAACGGATATAAAGAAAGCACATAAATAATTGTATCTAATATAACTTTCAATCAGTGCAAGGATATACATAAATTTTTGAAAATAATTTATTTATCATAGCTTACTCGTGCTACACGAGGGGGTTGCGGCACAGTAAATTAAATAGAAAATTAAGAGAATGGAAAAGGTGATGCTCGTGGCACAGCTATGTTGTTTTCTATAATATTAAAATATAAAGAAACAGACATTTTTGGATAGTTTAGACTCATAGTTGGTCATTGGAGAGTTAGATAGACCGATAGAAATGGGATGAAAACCACTCACGTGCACATAATAATTTTGGGAAAGCCATTAACTTTCAGCTTTGTCACCACATATTTAACATCAATACTACTTTTAAATCAATAAATTTAATTCTAAAACTATATTCAACATCAATATTACTTTTAAATCAATAAATTTACGTAATTTTAAAATTATATTATTTCTTGTTAATGATTAGATTTCGTAATAACAGAACAAAATTATGAGAAAAATATTAATTTTTTTAACAAACACAAAAAAACTTTATTAGGTTTCACAAAGAAAAAAGAGAAGAAGGAAGAAAAATAGATAATTGATTAAATTTATTTTACTATTCAGTTTCTCAATAAGAGTTTAAAGATTACACGGAATACCAACCATTAACCTCTCCCAACAAACTGAGAGAACTAATCTATTTATAAACTATAAAACTAACTTAGATTA